ATATATATATATATATATATATATATATATACGTATGCAGCTGGAATAATTGAATAATGGAATGGAATAATTATACGTAATTATTATTAAATTGTCTAATAGATATTTATTTGACTTAATCAGAAATTATTCGAATTATTAAATGAAATGTAAATTAAATAATTATTAAAAGTGTTTTTAAAAAATACTTTGTCACATGGCTTATGGCTATTTAAATTGACGCAGGTGAAAGAGTGGCTAAAATAGTGAAACCATTGCAACATCTAAAGCTTTCACTTTTAACTATGTCTTGATGGTTCATGGACACATTATGCACCATTTGCTTGATGTATATATTTGATTCATGTGATTGTTGTGTTGTGTTTGAGCTCTTTGTAGTTGTGAGCAGGAATGTGATGTAGTCAGCTGTGTGTGTGTGCATCTGCCTCTTTGTTGTGATTATGCAAACCCTCATAAATCTGTTTCAAAGTTAGTGCTAACAGGTTTAACCCTGCCTGCATTCCCTCGTCACATCACACAAAGAGAAGATGTTACTGTGTAGACGTGATTTACTGCAGTGTGGAGCCAATGGCATCAGGATCAGCGTCCAGTGTGAGTGTATTGATCATCATTTTTTGTTTTCTGTCTCTCAGTCCACAGTTTCAGTGTATCTGTGCTGCCTGGCACTAAACTGGAAAGCGGCCCGGCGACTCTGCATTTGTGCAACAATGTCCTGGTCATCGCTAAAGACCTGCCGGCTGTCATCAGAGGTCACTGGAATCTGCTGGACCTGCGGCGATACGGGCCGGTCAACAACGGGTTCGTGTTTGAGGGAGGAACACGCTGTGGTTACTGTGAGTATGGCAATAAAACAAGGAAAGCTTTTTGATAAAATGCAATATCAAGGAGTCAAGGTTGTGCTAGTTATCGTGATCCAGTCGGCTTCTTCTGTTAAGAGAGCCCGTCTGCGAGTTGCTTAATGATGTGTAAAGTTTGAAAAAGCTTTGGTAACCTTTTGTTCTCTGTGTCAGTGCGCAGTTTCAGTGTATCTGTGCTGCCCGGCACTAAACTGGAAAGCGGCCCGGCGACTCTGCATTTGTGCAACAATGTCCTGGTCATCGCTAAAGACCTGCCGGCTGTCATCAGAGGTCACTGGAATCTGCTGGACCTGCGGCGATACGGGCCGGTCAACAACGGGTTCGTGTTTGAGGGAGGAACACGCTGTGGTTACTGTGAGTATGGCAATAAAACAAGGAAAGCTTTTTGATAAAATGCAATATCAAGGAGTCAAGGTTGTGCTAGTTATCGTGATCCAGTCGGCTTCTTCTGTTAAGAGAGCCCGTCTGCGAGTTGCTTAATGATGTGTAAAGTTTGAAAAAGCTTTGGTAACCTTTTGGGACTTTATTTAGGTTGAGGAAAAAAAAATCTTAAGTTGGTATTAAAAAAAACATTGAATATATCACTGTATATCCACCTCTGAAACCCTCCACCTCCCCCAGCTCCACCTGTCTAGACCAAATACATTGCCGTATCCATAAACATGCTAAAACTATTCCAAGAGTTTAAGACTGAAATATGGTTATATATTATTATGTATAGTTATATATAGCATTCCTTGTATTGCTCAGCAGTTGCTATAAGCATTGGTAAATATATGTAAAGCCAGATTTCACAAATGCTCGCTTTGCTCAGTATGCGGCAGTAAGATGATTTATGATGCTCTAAATGGTTGCATTGGTTTGTGACGGCATTCAAAACAGCAGATTTGTTTACTTGATTGAATGTGGTTGTGTGTGTGTAACTGGTATTCCCTACGTCATGGAGACCAAATGTCCCCACAGGTATAGTAATACTGTCACATCTACGGTGTGTGAGTGCGTGCGTGCGTGCGTGTGTGTGTGTACGAGCGAGCGTGCGTGTGTGTGTGTCTGTGTGTGTGTGGTCACAGCTGACAGTGTTTGTGTGGTTGTAAAGTCTCAGCTGGTTTTGGGTGGTCTTGTTTGTAGGGTGATGGATGTCTCTGCTCATCAAACTTCATCAGATTCCTAGAAGGAGCAAGTCAGACATCAATGACATTCTTCTAGAAACTGACACACGACACAATACCAGCTGGACATTCAGAGAATATTCATCAGTTATTTGAATAGTTTAGTAAAAGCATTAGTATTGACTGAAACTAAAGTCATCAAAAATTAAACACTAAATTTATTTCCGCAACATTTCTCATTTTTGTTTAGTGTAAGTTGAAATAAAATAACTAAAATTAAGAAAACTATAACTTAAAAAAACCCCAAAATGACAAAATTCATTGATAACAGAATGATAAATATATCTTGATATATATAATGATAAAACTTTGAATAAGTCTAATTCAAAATATAAACAAAAACTATAATATTATATCAGTGATACTAAAATAAGATTGATGACAAAACAGAGTCAACAGATCAAAATGTTATTGTGTCTCCTGAGTCAGTTTTGAATGTTACAGATTTGTTAAAGGAATAGTTTACACAAAAATAAAGATTCTGTCCTTATTTATTGACTAATTCTCATATAGTTATTCCGTAGAATTTTTGAAGAATACTCTGGCTACTTTTTTCATTAAAAATAAAAGTTAATGAGGAATGGTGCTGTCTAAAATGACAAAAAAAATGAAAATCGAAAATGCTATTAAAAAAAATGTTCTGAATTGTGTCTCTACATGTGTCTGTTTGTGCCTCTGTTTTTGAGTGCTGTATCGCATTACATAAAATGACAAAAATATCATTAAAATCATAAAAGTGGTCCAGTAGACTCAAGCAATATGCAACTATTCTGAAGCCATATGATGGTTTTGTTTTCGATCAATTTGAGTCAGTTCCTCGTCACACAAAGCTCAGAATTCCTCAGTATATAGTATATTATGGACTACTTTAACAATGCTTCAGTGTCCTTTTTGCAGCTTGAAAACTTCAATTCCTATTCATTTGAATGGAAAAGAGCAACCCGTGCATTATTGATTTTAGTATCATTCTCCATCTGTGTTCCACGGGAGACTGTCGAACACACGTGTTGATCGCGTGTGTCTGTGTGCAGGGGCCGGCGTGTTCTTCTTGTCCTGCGCCGAGGCCGAGCAGATCAGTTTTCTCTTCGACTGTATTGTTCGTGGCATTTCCCCGTCTAGAGGCCCGTTTGGACTGAAGCCACTGCTGCGAGGTCAGTGTCACGAGTCTCATCACGTCTGTTTAAACCCTCATCTGAGGCCAAAATCTGGCTCTAACTCCTGATGCTTTCATGCCACATCCACCAAACTCTAAGTCTCTCTCATTTATCTCACATGGTCCCACATATTCACACTACATACCGCTTTATTACCTGCTGATATCAGGGCTTTTGTACTTTCAGACAAAGCTTTTTTAAGGCAGCATTCAACATTTGTTTTACATTTGTAGTTTTATGATAATATCAGTTTGTTAATTCAAGCTATTTTATGACCCCCTTGTGAAAAACAAGTGCACTTAATAGTATTGAATGTGCATTTGTAGTGTACTTGAAATCTGAAAAAAAAAAAATGTTTTTAATCTGTACTTGTAGATAATATACTTTTAATGTGAAGCCACTTAAGTGACTTAAAGAGAGACACTTTCATGACCGTTTCTTAACACACTTTTAAAAAGAGCACTTTGTAATAATATCTAATTAAACGTTTTAGTATAGAAATGTGTATTTTAGTTATGTTTTATTTCACCATATATGCTTGTCAGTACATTTGGCAGTACACTGATTTCAATGATAATAGAAGTAATTATGAAATTACATATAAAGATACATTTATTTTTATATAGCGCCTTTAAAAGTTAATTCTCAAAGCACTTTACACTTAAGAGGAAACAATGTTTAAAAGAAAAAAAAAAGATGGGTCAAAATCACTCTAAATTTAAGCTAATTGCATTTAATATCAATTCAAACTATAATGCATTTTCATTTAATTGCAATTAGCATGTAACAAGTATCTGAAAACATTAATTCAGTAGTCTTTTAAAGTTTATTATTTCCATGACAAGTACTCTTTTTTTAAAAGTATGCTAAAGTCTACTTCTTTTTCATAAAAAACATTAAAAAAATTGTATATAATGTATGAAGATTCATTTAAATTGTGCATGAAAAATAGCAAGGGTGATATTATTAAGACAATGTGTAGTTTACGAAACTAAATAACTGGCTTTTATATTGTCATTGTACTAAAGCCAGAGCAAGTAATGAAAATGCCACTAATAGAGTAATATTAGACGTATAAACATTTCATTTACATTTAATAATTCGTTTATTTTTTCTCTCTCTCTGTGAAATTGTACTTGTTTCCCTTTTGTAGCCCCAGTTTTGAAGCCTCTGATAGAATTCATGCAAGATCAGCCCTAAGGCTTTTTACTGGGACATTTAAGACACTGACAAGTGTTTACATATCGGTCCAGCCAATCAGAACGCTTCACACCTCCTCCTGACCAATCAGAACTCGAGCTTCTCTCCTATTCTGAGACCACGGGAGATCAAGAGTCACAGTTTATATACGCGAGCATTCCTGATGACTCTAACCTCATCCACAGAAAATGCCATGTTCTGTCAATCTGCTACATCTCATGGATATTTGGTCAAAAAGCTCGAATGCAAAGCAGTGTTTATGAAGTCCCTCGGGATGTGTGTTGATCAGCGTCAGCGCTCCTCTGGCCGCTTGCCATCTCATCCACATGTCTGCTCTATTAATAGTACTTCAAGTGCTAGACTAACACTGGGCTTCTGCTGTAACTTCTGGGTCAAGTTGTCAATCTCAAACCACCAATTTTGCTATTTAGTATTGGATTTATATGGGAACGAGGGCTGATGTAATAATTACCCAAGCTTTGCAATATTAATCACTTCTAAATCTGCAATTTTAGTCAATTTACAGTATTTTTTATATAATGTCTATATTATGTCCTCAAGAAATAACCAAAGATGTGAACTGACATGATAATAGACAACCTGTGCATTTGATATTATTGGTCCATGTTCAGCATGCAGGCCATTGCAGTGTTGTTTCTCAAATTATTATTATTATTATAAAAAAATTAAAAAAAGTTAAAATAAATAAATAAATATATATA